CTGTTTTGAATCTAGTGGTGATAAGGGGTGTTTTCCATACAGATGTATAGGTCTCACATTCCATAGATTGATTGAAAAGTTTCAAACAAAATAGTGGAAAATTTCTACTCCTATATTTCACAAACGATGAAGGTATCCCATCAGGTCCACCATCATAAGACCTTTTCAGGGCAGATATGGCCTGCTTGATTTAAGAGGGTATAAAATCAATTTTCGATGGATGTCTGGATGTCAGCATGGGAAATGTAATGATAGAGCGTTCAGTTGCAGTGTTGTAGCATTGCGAGAAATGCTGGCCCAATTGTTCGCAAATAATGTCAAAGTCGTCAACAATGCTTCTGTTAACTATGAAAAATTTAGTCGTGCCAAAAGAATTTGACTTCACCCAGGATTTAAAAAGCCGAAGTATTGATAATTATTGGCTTTTACTACGTAGAGCTTTATTTTCTATATTCATGAAATACTTACGTTTAGATGAAGCGTTTCTGTCGATTAATTTAAGTATACTCTGAAGTGCATACAAATCATTCTGCTCGTAGTAGCGGCATTTTAATTTCCTCAGCTTTCTTTTTTAAGTATTTTGGCCCCTATTAGCATTATTAGCCACACGGCCAATAACTGAAGCATTGCATTCAAGGCAATATATCAGGTTGTCGTATTAGTACCCATCAAGGACATTACTGATGTAACGGTGGCCCGCATTCTCGTCGAATGATGGATGGCAAACTTTGGCTGCTCTCCAACTATCACTACAGGCCGTAGAAACCAGTACGAACCTGAACTTTTCCGTTGTCCTACTACACTACTAGGAATAACAGAAATCATAACAACCGCCTATCACTCACAAACAAACGGGTTGATAGAACACTTTCACCACGGCCTAAAGCTTCTCTATCAGCTGCAAACGTTTCACAGTGATCGACGGTCTTTAACTCGTCTTACTTTGTGTTCGCAACGTAGTGAAGGTTGACAATGGATAAATTTTAGCTCAAATCGTTTATAGAACAACACTCCGACTTTCAGGAGGATTCATGGATCCTTTCTTCTTCAAGAAATATATTTCTGATTTTTTTTCACGAGCAGGCTTACAAACGCAATGCGTCCAGTTAAACACGTTTCCGTTAGAGCGTAATCGACCGATGTTTTCGTCGAACCTGCCCTGCGATATAGTATACGCGTCTTCGTACGTCGCGACTCACTTCGACGACCACACGAAACGACACACGAAGGATCGTTCAGAGTTCTTCAGAGCGAAACCAAGTACTGTATAATCGATAAGAACGAAGCTAACGTTAGCATCAGCACTGAACGCCTCAAAGACGCGTATTTAGAAGGAAACCGTATTCATGTCGATCTTCTTCCGGTTCAATCGAAAGACACGATTCCCAAATTTACGATACCTCAATCGAAAACCAATAATCATGGTGACACTTTGATGTTATCTGACAGCGGACTCAAAACAACGCGTTCTGGAAGAAGAGCAAGGTTTCTTGAATAATTTTTCATGTTAACAAAACGCATATATACCAATCTCTCTTCGTTTTTCGCCCATTGTGTGTTTTTACCTACGTACAAGTGTGTTTTGACATTCACACGCAATTTCTTTTTATCTAGGACGGACAGAAAAGAGGAAATACGGACGAAGATTACGATGAAAAGAATCTTTCATCGTACATTTCTTTTTTTATGGCTATATTATCAATATAGCCCCTGGTGTTAGAGAACTACAACCAGATGCTTCCGAACATAACAAGCCATCAGAGGAGTGTCTACCAACGACAAGCTCTCAGTTGTAAACTTCTGTCTATCCATATTTTGGGGTCATCACTACCCCACCAGGGAAGTGAGCTGAAGTGGTTAATAAGTCATCGAAATGAATAGTGCTGTAGGTAATTGAAACTGATGCTGGCCCTGTTAATTTTGCTGAACACATCTAGCTGAAGGCGCTCGGCCACGCATGCGCACCAGATCACGTGTGGATATGCTGTGCGGCGCATTCTTTTCAGCTGTGAGCCACTTTGAACTAAACGTTCCTCGACATCCGATAACCATCTGAATATGTCTTCGAACCACTTTGTCTCTGACTTCTGATTCGAATACCCTTGGCATCTTTACTTGTATAAGTACTTTCCGTCAATAGCGTTGATAAAACTGGTTCCAAGAGATCTTCTAGCTTATTTGTTCTCAGCAGTAAATTACTGTCACTTTTTGTCTTTCAAAATGCTACTGTGGCTAACCGTGTTTGTTCTGAATACCGTTTTTCACCAACGTATAAATTATATATTTGTACATTTTTAAAACTCCAGCCCTACATGGTGTTTCACGTTGTCGGCTTATAGCTGTCTTCTGTGTGCCTAGAAACGCACCGTTGCTGCTCCTTATTTCTTAGAAGCCGAAGTTGTATGTTTCTGAAGTCATCACTTCAAGCACCATCTCAATAATTAACAGTATTCTCCATCAGCACAGTGAAACATTATCGAGGATTATTATCTTTGGTTGAAACCGTTCCTATCATCGAACAAAAACGATTTCCAAAGTCATCACCCAAAAGCACTATGATTTGTAAACTCAAACTAGTGGGTAGTGACAGTGAAAATCTTACTGGGAGTTCGATGGACATAGAGGAGAAGCAGACTTAATCATACATAAAAGCTTTAGTCTTCCTGTATACTTAAAAGACTAAAACAGGAATGATGACTATCGTTAACCAATAATATTCTAATGCGACTACGATATTTAAGGTTTAAAATCACTATGTTGTTATAACCCATCGTATGTTTGTGGCCTTAGTGCTATAGAGCCGCAAAATTTCGAAACTGGATTTTGTGACATTAGCAACACGCTGAGGTAGAGACGACCTTTGCTTTTAAATCGTTGGCTCATTGGTCGATTGGATCAATACATTTAATCGGAACGTTACAGTTTGTTGGAGGCCAATTAAGTCGCAAGTCTGTACGCATCTCATAGGGGGGGGGTTGACCCTAAAGACCATTCCAGCCAACTGATCGAGTTGCACATTACAGTTTATTTATCCCCTGGACTAAACTTGTTACCTGTTTATGTCGTGTTCACAGATTGCAGTAGAGTGCACTAAAGAACGGTTTAGCCTCGTATATCCCCATCCTAACGTTTTTTATCATTGCAGGGTAAGTTTGTAATCTGTGTAATTTGTGTGACTTCCCCTTATTGTGTTCGGCCTTTTGTTGTGAAGTGGTTTTGATATCATTTGCTTATTACTTAAATGGGTCATTCTAACCTCTACGTATGTAAAGGTTAGAATGATTCCATACTTTACATTAGGCGTTAACTACGGAACCCTATAAGATCGACGTAACCAATCTTGTCAGCTGACTAGATAGTCTTTCAATAGGCAGTTTCAAGCAGAAAATGAACGGGATGTTTCAGCCGTTGGTCACTCGGGGAGATGAGTGAATTCCCACTTTGATCTAATTCGATCGCGCTTATCAAACCTTTTTGTGATTGCCTCGGTGATGGCTAGTCGTAGGGAAGTGGGAAAAGGCGAGATATGTTTACAACCAAGTCATCATTTAGACTATACGGTGCTTATGTGTCACCTTACATAGCACGATAAGGGGACGAGATATGAGTGTGGACCGCTCATCATGGAATTAATTGAAGAGCCCCGTCACTAACTTAGTACCTACTTTTTTAGACATTCTCAAGTGTCTGTATATTTAGATACGGATTAGTTGCTTGGACACGATATTCAAAAAGAGATCTTGGCATTTGGGATACGGAAGCCGAAACATTCCTTCATCAAAGCATTAGGACGCTGTACACCCGGCCGTAACACATAACATCGGTGAGACTGTAATTTATGGATGACTTTTGGGTGACGCCAGACTGTCCTTGAGAGTATCCACCTAATAACCAGGACCGAATGAAGGTTATACACCTGTGTGAAGAATTAAAATTATGATTTAAAGTCGGTGATTAAGGTTAAGGTTTTCATCACAAACTGACGTCAGCTAAAATGCCAGAACTCTATTTATCCGAATGAATGAGTGAATTCCGCGCCAAAACCTAGATCTGTTATCTTATACGTGATTGGTTCGTCCATAAATTATAGTCTCGCCGTTTTGTAAATGGTATCCCATCTGTAGTGTACTTATAGCTATCATTGTGTTCGACCTGGATTATTGCAGTTTAACCAAAACTTATTCCTAAGCAACTTCATTTAGACTAGCTGTTTTATTCATCTAAATTATTTTGGAGCTCTAGCCTAGAGATGGTGCAACACTGGTTAGAGACGTTATTAGATATGGCTCAGGATAAAAGCCAGTGGGAGATCCTGCTGTAACTTTCTTTTAGTTTCTTCATAAAAATGAACGTAACTTCTTTAACTGAAAGAATTCTTTCGGTTGTATTTTTACTCACTGAAATGTTTCCCTTTATTATTATTATTATTATTATTATTATTATTATTATTACTATTATTATTCCACTCCATGCACTAATTTCTGCTCGTTTTGTTATCCTCTTTATTATGCGCACTTTATATCCCCTATTTCTTCACAACCTTATTGTTATTGTGTGGCGCATATGTGTTTGGTCCCCCTTTGTACCAGTATTTATTTTTTCAAATAAATAAATAAATGAATAAAATTATTTGATCGTGGTGTGAAGTTCACAAACGATGGAACGTCATTTATCATTAACATCTGTTAACTACAGTTATCGAACCAAAGGATTTCAGTACTTCTCACTCTCAACATCCTGATTACAAAAGCTGAATGTCGTATTTTAATTCCCATAGAAGCTGAAAACGAGTATTGGCTAGTGAGTGAGAGTTTCGAACAAAGCAAGTATATTCAGGTTTCATGTTCCAACTATCAGTGACTTCGTCTAATATTAATTTTTGAATTTCTTCAGTCTCCAAATACTTGCCGATTGCATTAAGCTTAATCCATCACTTTTATTCTTTTTCTTGGATTTTAGTACATATATTTTTGTCGAGGCAATGCATTTGCAATATATCGATGTATTTTTGCTTCCTTGTTTGCAACTCTACTCGTCCTGATTATCTATGGATAATTCTACGTGATCCGAAATTTCCAGACTTTCTATCCTGGTGTTTGGATGCATCTCAGTGGGCTTTATTAGGCACAGCTGTATGTTATATAATATTGGCATGTAATGCGGTGTGCATATCTAGACGAAATGGGGAATCAAACAACGAAAGTAAGTATTACAAATCAATAAAGCTGAATTGTGAGGGCGATCCAATATATTAATGTGCAAACCAATTCAATGTCATAGAGAACATGTCTGACAAGAATGTTGTCTATCAAACGTAGATCATTAGTTCCATTGACAAAATCATCATTAAGTACTTTAAGACTACAATCTAAGCTACGAGTCTCAAAGTTATAGACAAACTGGTCAAATTTACGGTAGTGCCTCTTGAATTTTTTTAAATAAAATTCATTCATCCATTTGGCTGGAAAGCATTCTTGTATTACAGTTCGTAATGAAAACACTAAATTTAACTCTAAATTCTGATCCTAAACTCTAGTCGTATGATTATAAATCACTCTTTCATATATGCTGTTTCTGATTGTCTGAACGGGTCAATATTTATCAAGGTCATTTTATGTTATTCGAGCTCACCCTTATAATTCAGCTTGACCATAAGATTTAATCGAGTAAATTACGGGGATTAATTCTTTGATGTGAATATAGTTTTCATCATGGATACCAACCCCATTAATGGTACTACTGGACATTTGTTTCGTACGATTTTGGGTTTCCTCAGCCAAAAGCCCAGATCCTTGGCCATACTAGGGGTTGAACTTAGACTCTTCAATTCATTCAACATCATCATCACTTCTTTACCTTTCTGAGTTAACAAACAATAGTTCTCATTTCCAAATTAAGTTAATAAGACTAAAATTCTGAGCTATTTGGGATATTTACTTGCTCTTCCATTGTGGTGCTAGCTGAAGAGTATGTTCGTCTCACAGTCATGTGTTCTGTTTATGTGATAGTAGAAAAGCCTGTCTTTGAGTCATTTAATACAGCGCGATTCAAGCTTTAACCTGATGGAGAAAGGTATCCTTTATTTTTAAACATCCTATTAACAGAAGACCTTAACTTCCCACTAATGTTGAACATCGGATTATTCTCATGATTTTAGTGAAATCCAGCAATCTTCACAACCCTATGCTGGCAATTATCACGTGCTCACTAGTGATAAGCTTCGAGAAAAAGTTTTTGGCGTTCTGGCGTGAAGCTGTGATCAGTGGACTAAACAGTCGGGTGTAACAAAGGTACTCACCGAAGACAATAGATGGTCGTGCACCATCCTGGACCGGTTTGAATTTAGACTTGTACACTATTGGATTCCACCTTAATGGTCTAAAAGTTAGGTGTTCGCGTACGAGACTGTATATACTGAGTTCGTGAATGTGCACTGCTAAGGAGTCCCGTACTGGGACGAAACGGGTATCCAGTGCTTTCAGGTTTTTAATGGTTGTCTAACTTTGATCGGTTTGTGATTTCAGTGATATTTTTGTTCATTCCTTTTGAAGATCCTTAATATTGTTGGTAAATCATCTGTTTCCACGACTTTTTTTACCACATGTTCTTCACCAAGGTGGTGACAGCTTCCTTATTAATTAAATAATTGAGTCGGTCTTAGTATTTCGAGGTATTTTCAAAACTAGACTACCCTGTGTGTGTGTACACGAAAAGTATTTGATTGTGTGGAGTATCGGGGGAACCGATGAACAATGTGCTAATCAAGAAATACCCGAGGAAAAATATTTTTTATTCTACTTTGTTCAACGATTATCGTATTATTGTATCTAGTTGCCTTCGCTATTTGTATACTGTAATTCATGTATCATTTCATCTCATTAGAAATCAGAATCTTTTGTAGTTTAACAGCCTACACAAACCTCTCCTGTACACTATTGAATACTTTGTGTTGTAAATTTGTATAATCGTCTCTGTACACCAATAGTCGTGGTTTTATTAGTGTAAGATATTAAATCAATTTAGTAAGGTCCCGACTGTAGCTGTTTATTCGACTTAATCGTCGGGCTTGCCTACTGTAATGGCCTAATCGAGCTATATTGGCTGAAAAATTCACTCATTGAAGTTCATCCCAGACAAGTTGGTTGGAGAACTGTAAATCTAAGAGCAGAAAACTCATGGTCCATGGGCAAAGTCGTACTGAGGATTGTACAGGGGTGTGGCGGCAGTATTGTGTTCCCCTTAGACAACCAGTATATACATATATGCTACTTTCTCACGACGAGAGGTGGGGATTGGAAAAGATCGGTCCTAAAAATAGAAAATCTCACAGATTTCCGTCTCTGACTGTAAGGCCCTAAAATTGAGCAGATAACTCATCTAAAAGTACTCTTAAAGTGGCCATATATGACTGATTTTAGGAAGCTATACTTTGGAAACTACGATTTCACTTACAGGTTGTTGTAATTATCTCTAACCCAGACTTCTTTTCAGTCCTCTCAAGAAGTATACTTCCACACTGTGGGCAACAAGGGAGTGACAACGCCATATACTCTTCTAACAGTACTTGCGAAAATTTTCACAATCAAATATCTTCGAATTCAAAAAAATCGAAGTCACCACTGTTTAGCGTTGTATGTAGAAATGTGCAAGTTGCACACCTATTTCTTTTTTTAATGAAAGAAGTACTAAAGAGGCTTTCTAAATATTCAGTGCAGGTAAATGTGAGATTTGATTAGGTATACTAGTCAAAACCATATAGTACACTGAGCTTTTAGTAGTGAGTATTAGTAGAATTTAAACATAAATAATAATGAGAATTAAAGTGCCCATTATTGAGAAGTAGCTTAAACTAAGACAAAACTATTGTATATTTTCATGACATTTCGGTCTTTAGCAATAATTCAGCTGATGTCAGTTCACCGCGCGAAAGCTTTGAGATGATGTTTTCACTTGATCATTTTATTTACAAAAAATCGTATTTCTCCATTGTTGATCTTAACAACTACAGTCGATTAGTCAGTCATTCAGTAACAAAGTAGAACTTCGTACGTACGTACATCAGTTCGAGTTGCCACACCACATTAGCACAGAGATGCAGTGGTCGATTCAAATCCCGTAGTACTAGATGTAGTAAAATTATAAGCTGTAATCAGAAAAATTAGGGTTTGAAGATGTTATTCAAGGAGTATAATCCAGTGAAATCAATTTGGAGAGAGTAAAAAGAAAGGGACATGAAGAATTCAGAAGTTGGGAGAATACAAAGAGTGGATGCACCTGGGCCATTGCAAACGATTTTGAGCCATGTCATTCAAGGTCTCTAACCATTGGTTGCTATCATCTCGCGGTCACAGTCGATTAGTCTCTTAGTATATGCGCATCCTAAGCGGATCATCGTGATGTCATTTATTCATAAGTTTTTATCATTAATTCTGGATAGTGGCTAGCCAGTGGAATTTTGACAGAGTTTTGTTCTCTGAGTTGGATGTTTTGGTTGTGGAGCTTTCATCGTTCTTCTGAACGACATAGTCAGCAAAAACTTCAGGTAGAAGTGAAGTGTTCGAATTTCTCCTTACGTGGTTCACAGCTTGTCCTGTACGTCTCGAGGTCAACAAGAACCAATCAACATCGAGACGTACAGGACAAGCTGTGAACCACATAAGGAGATATTCGAACAATTCACTTCTACCTGAAGTTTGTGGTGATGATGTCGTTCAGAAGAACGATGAAAACTCCACAACCAAACTGTCCAACTCAGAGAAAAAAAAACTCCATCAAAATCATTCACCTGAGCTACAGATCATCTCCACCATCTCATAGCCAGTGGGATGTACAACACACATTTCGTCCTCTTTGAGACTGGTCCGCTGGATATGCTTTCATTTCAGTGTTAATGTTCACACATTGGGACTTGAACTCAATACCTTTTTCTTTAAACAACCAACGTGTCATCCGATTAACTACTGATTTTACTTGTTTTTACTGGAAGAAAAAAGAAGCAACCAGTCATACCATGAATTAGATCTTTTGTGTTAACTTTCCTAAAGATTTTGCTGTACTCAAACAAATGTATTTTGATTCTCATGTAGGGAATTACAATAAAATTTCACACTCGGTTGTTTATCAAATATATCGTTTTTCTTTGCTTTTAACCTATCAATCTCACAGTCTTTAGTGTTTTTAATTTCCGAAAATGTTTATTTATTTATTTATATACATAAACATTGGTACAAGTACATGCTGAATATATATGCGCCACACAAATCATTGGATTTGTGTGACGACTGAGATAATGTCCGGGTGCCCAAACCGGAGTAGGTGGTTTTCTTAGGGGGCCACCCCCCGAGTTTCTGACCTGAAGGTTCAATCCATAAAACAGTGGAGCAACGTTAAGAGATGCAGTTCCATGGTAGCCGGTGACAAATAATATGTCCATACGCCCTTTGTTTTTTTAGGATCCTGGAGTCCATGTGCTCAATTGGTTCTGAATCAGGGTTTTCTGACTCCCCTAGGTGGATCCTCCGTACTCACCAAGACACAGTTTAAGTGCTGGACATTCGCTTTTCATCCTCTCGATTTCGTAAACAACATCCCTGCCTCGAGGAGGCACTGAGTAGGACTTCTCTGTCAGTGACTGTATACATGTGGCCATGTGAGAGCATTTCGAGAGGGAGAATAGTCTCTACCCATCATCGGCCGTACCAGAGTATTTGGGGGACTTAGACAGAAATAAGTATTGAGCAAGTGTCAAATCCATATAAGAATCGAGTTAATGCTTTCTTTAACTAATTAGCTAATTCATTCATATCATTTTAATCACTGATCATCAATGATACATATCAATATTATTGATTAGATCAAATATGTCCTTCACTTTGTTGATGTTATAAATACTGTTTAATGAACATATGATATTGAATACATCTTACTATTTACAATGAAAGAGTATGTCTATGTGTATATTTATACATGTACACAATGTAATGAAAAGAATAATAATAATACTAAAGATACACATTCGATGAGTATATTCTCTGTTGTAATACAATAATTTCATATTATTAGAAAGTTTTTATGAAATAAGAATTATTTCTCTCTATGAAACAACGTCTATTTCATTACTAAGAACATCAACATAATCAAGTAGGGATATATGATTGACCTTGAGAAGAAAATGAAATAGATTGTTCAAAAGTTTTGTTTTATTTTTTAAATTAAAAAAAAAAATAAAACCACACCCAATTTAATCAAGAAATAATATACACAATATTGCTGTTAGCCAATTGTGTTCTTTTATTATTTTGTTTTAAAGCTTATAAGTTAATTATAGTTTTAAGTAGTATGAGTGTAAACTGTGATTGTATTGAGCTACAATTTTATTTAGTATTTTAAAAGAAAAAAGAAAAGCTGTCAACTGATTTATTATTCTGCTAATTGACTAGAAATTAGGCATCACTAATAGAATATTTTACTATCAGGAGGGGTTTTGTGAAAATTGTAGTAATTTCAACAGTTGAGATCATGAGTCAATTAAAGCTAGACCACCATGGAAAACCCGGAAGAACTGGACAGCGGTTTCGTCCTGTTGTGGGACTCTTCAGCAGTGCGCATCCACGACCCCGCCTCGCAAGATTCGAACCCAGGACCTATCAGTCTCGCGCCAGACGCTTAACCAACTAGACCGCTGAGCCGGCATCCAACGGTGTTAACGTCTAACTTCAACTAATCCACGGAGTTGAGCGACACATCCACCATTGTCATCAGTGAGTTACTATCTCACAACTGACCCGGTTGAACTCCACTGGTCACTGCTTCTCACTAGAACTCCACGATATATATAGGCCCTGGGTTCGAATCCCGCGAGGCGGGGTCGTGGATGCGCACTGCTGAGGAGTCCCACAATAAGACGAAACCGCTGTCCAGGTTTTCCATGGTGGTTTAGCTTCAATTGACTCATGATCTCATCTGTTGAAATTACTACAATCTCCACGAAACCCCTCCTGATATTTTACTCTTAATTTAACATTTTTAACTCTACGAACTCCTGTCTCCTCTTGTTCTATGGTGTAGAAGTAGGTTGGAAGAAAGCTAGGGGAACCCAGACCAAAACATGACACAAATCTATGAGGTCACTGACAAGTGAACTGATACATGTTGGTAGGTGTAGACTACCTGGTTGAGGTCCGCGAGACGATAGCAACCAATGGTTAGAGACCTTGAATGACATGGCTCAAAATCGTTTGCAATGGCCCAGGTGCATCCACTCTTTGTATTCTCCCAACTTCTGAATTCTTCATGTCCCTTTCTTTTTACTCTCTCCAAATTGATTTCACTGGATTATACTCCTTGAATAACATCTTCAAACCCTAATTTTTCTGATTACAGCTTATAATTTTACTACATCTAGTAATACGGGATTTGAATCGACCACTGCATCTCTGTGCTAATGTGGTGTGGCAACTCGAACTGATGTACGTACGTACGAAGTTCTACTTTGTTACTGATTGATTGACTGATTTGTTTTCCTACAAGTCAAACATCCAACCATGATTTATAGCATAATAGTAGTTAATAGTGTAAATTCACTTGTAGCGCTATTTTTTCCATTGTACTATCAAAAATGCTTAAAATATTTACTTGATATTTTGAAGTCTTGAAATGTTTTTACTCTTAATTGATGTTTTATTTGTTGTTATGGAGTAAAATTTCATGATTTAATGACTGAATTTTCAATTATTAAAATGAACAAAGAGAATGCTGATTGATAAATAATATGCAATAATACAATATAACTAAATGACACCTGTTTACTAGAACGAATTATTGACGTAATCTCCTAAATAGTTGGAAATTAAGGACGAAGTTACTAGTCAAAAAATAGGTTTTTGTTTGTTGTAAAATGACATGTTTCTATAAAAGATTTAACATAAAAATAACGTGATTAGGCGTCATAAACGATTGGAAGATATCAGTTTTGTAGGTTTATTCACTCTTCAATGAACAAACACCTGAATGTTAGACTTCCACGTCAATATCAACCGTGTACTAAAATTTATTTTTAAATTAAACCGATTATTCCACATTCGTATAACGGGGAGAATAAAAGTTATTTTCTGTTCTCAGTCAGTCTTGAGTGCCGTCAGAGGTATGAGGGCAATTATCACTTCCCGGTTGCCCACACCGTGGAAGGGTTCTTCTGCAGGTACCTGAAAGGAAATTGGATTAGAGCTGGTCTTAGTGACCTGGGAGCGTGACCGCAGTGCCCAAGGGACAACTGCTTGAGGTCAGTCACACACGACCTTTTTGTGTTAGCTCCGTACTTGTTGAGACCTTACCTCCGGAGACGGATATCCGTGGGATAAGGCGAGGTGTGCATTTGTAGGGTCGACCTTTTCTAACCCCACCCCTCCTTGTGGGAAGGCAGTATCGCTGTCATGCTGGTTGTCTGAAGGAAACACCTTGCTGCTGTCACACCTCTGTACAGTCAGCAGTACGACTTCGGACCTTGGGTCTATTGCTTTTAGTCTTACCGCTCTTCAACCGACCTGTCTACATGGTAGGACCTTGAGGAATGGTTGTTCCAGTCAGTATAGCTCGGTTGCTTCATCACGATAGGCAAGCCCGACCACCACGTCAAGGTAGCAACAACGGCCGGGTATTTTCTGTTCTACGTAACAACATATCATAATACGATAATAGGATCGGTGACGGAGATTATACTGCCATTAGACTGGATACTCAATCGATATGCCATTCACAGATACACGACTCACGACCAAATATAGAGAGCCAGTGTATAGGCTAGACGTTGCTTCATGCAACACAATTACAAGCAGTGTAAATTCAGTGAGTTTAGAGTAAAATTACTAATATGAAGGACAGTTGGCAAGCTGGGTATCTTGCAATCCACGCCCAGTGACCAATCACATCTTACTTTCACTAGCTGCACATATCATACATACTATAGTTTCAATGAAAAAAATTCGTTTAGTAGTTTTGTTTTTATTTATTTATATCAACTTTGTTATTTGTCTTTGTAGCTACGATTCCTTATAAATTTGTTTGGCTATTATATACATGCAGCGTGAATTGCGTGTATTCAACAATGACACTGCATTGGATGTTTAGTGGTCATCAATCTTGTAAGTAATTTTTCATAAATAATAGGTATCGATAGTTTGTTTATCTTTTAAATTCATCTTAATATATCTACATTGACATTTCGGTGTTTAGCCTACTGGTTAGTCAGTTAATCATAAACAACATAAGGCCAGACACATGTACATCGATTCAGGTTGTCACACCATATTAGCACAGTGAAATGACAAAATAAATCCCAGAATAGTAGTAGTAATAGTATCAGTGGTACTTGAACGGATTAGGTTAGTCATCAGCTACAACGTAGGATCCGGCACATATATGCATCGCTCCAGGTTGCCACATCTCATTAGCACAACAAGATGAACACCGAATTCATATAAGTAGTTAATTCAATGATGCTAAAATATAAAGAAAAGGATTGCATATGAGCATATAGTACAGTAAGAAAGAATTAGTTGGTAGAAAGAAAGAAAGCAATTTTAATCTCATAGTTTAAGGGAAGACCGAGAGTGTATACAAACGGATTATTTATCGGAATTGTGATTCAAGAAGAAAGCATGAACTCGCAGAATAAAAAAAGCGTACGATCATTTCTAGACTCAAGGTCTAAGCGAAGACAAAAAGTGAACGCATCTACTTACTACTATTTCCCAACTACGCTACTTAACGTTTCCAACACTTGGTTAGAGTAATAGTGAGGATACCAACAAGGCAGTCTACACCTATCTGCACATCTTTGTACAACAACCAGTGATTTTGTGGACCAATCTAGCGCCCTGAGTTGACCTCTCTGTTTTCCTCACAACCTACTTGTAAGGAAGCGAACGACGTGTACGGAGATAGATGCCAATTGGATATACGTAACACTTGTCTCAACCACTAAGGGCTAGATGAACGTGAGATTAGCTGTGATCACGTTGATTGATCACTGGGTGGTGATCAATGTCATGCTTGTCTAGTCCTTATTAGTGCAGATCGAATGCTATCGATCATGTTGCAATGTGGCCACCAGTCTAGGTGACTCGACACTGCGGGCACTATGTATTGAGATTTAGATGGTAGTTGGAGGTAGTCAACAGGAAACCCTGGACCCGGGTTTCGTGCTACTTGGCACAGGAGGTTAGTCACGGCTCGGATAGCTCAGTGGTAACGGCTCTGACTGTGAAGCTGGGTGACACGAGATCGAATCCGCCAGGGAGCACCAGTTCCCTCAAGATTACAGGTACACCTTGCTGACGAGTGCCAAGTAGCACGAAACCCGGGTCCAGGATTTCCTGTTGACTACCTCCAACTACCATCTAGATTCGTATTGAGGGAAGAGGGATTTAGCATCAGATTACTGTCCTGCCTTCATAGTTGGGAGAACATTTCTGAAATATTTTTAATATGAATTTGGTGATTGTTGAAACTAGCATGTACTACTGTTGATGATTTAACTTGTGGGTGTCTCAGTTTTGCAGGATTATTAGGAGATGATTTTGTATAAGTTATTTTTTTTTCTGGTCGGATCGATATCTCACGTGAAGTCTCTCTAATGTAGAACGCATTGAAATCAACATAATCTATCGACACAATTTTCGTGTAAAGTGGACAGGATCTTATCTTTTATTCTAACTAGAGCGTTTCTTAGTTTTGGTTGTAATTTTTCTGTATTATCTTGACGATAAAGTAAAATCACAGTACCAATCCAAGATCTTTCATTAAAATTGTTATTTTTTGAAGAAAAATGGTTTTGTCTTAATGTTTTTAATAGTATTCTTAGGAGAATTCTCAAATCGTAGGATGTTTTTTAATTCTATTTTTCTTTTAGCTTGTCTTCTCCCGAAGTAATTATCTTGATTTCTCTTCTGAAAGGAACCAGAGCTAGGAAAACGTTTGCACTGAATGGTTGTACAGAGCTAAAATCAATAAATCGATTTGAATGTGCCGGTTATCAGTATATGATTATATTTAGACTTCGATTAGTATTTCTTTTAACTAAACAGTTTAAGAAAGTTAGTTCACTATGTTCTTCCTTTTCGAAAGTGAGATGTTTATCTGTTTGGAGAAATTTCTAAGGGTTTTTCTAACAATGACAAATATGTCATCTACATATCTGAGCCAGATGAGTGGTCTGATGGTACTGGCAAAAATAAGCAACTCAATATGGGACATAAATAAATTAGCAACAATCGGAGATCCGATGGCTACTCTGTTTGTCCCTTTGAAAGTGCATGGTGTTGAATTCAAGCATAGTTTGAAGGATTTCATGACTGAACTATTGCTTAATGGATATCTGCTAGATAGAGTAATAATATTCTTTATTAAACCATTAATAAATTCTAGACAACGACCATTTGGAATGCTAGTGCATAAAGATGCAACATCATAACTTACCATTGTTTCGTTCTTGCTGATGGATAACTCCGAGTTCTTTGATTTGAATTCGTATGAATCCTTTAAGACATTAATTAGGTTATGTTGAATTAGCTCCAGTATTATTTCGATATTTAGATAAAGCGTATGTGGGAAGTCCACTCAGAAGTTCACTTTTCTCTGATTTAACCTTATTCCTAACCACTTGAAGATTTTTGAATCGATCTTTGAATATAGTCCCGTTAGACGTATTATGATTTGACTTTACTAAAATATTCTTCATTGCTTTCTTTATACCATCTAAACCTGTGTTGATTTTATTTCGGTTGTTTATTTGTTTTGAAGAAGTGAGTTACATTATATGATGAAACGTCAGAAATATAATTTTCTTCTTATATATTTATCACTAACCTTCTGCCCAATGCTCAGTTTATTTGAAACTATCAAGTCCAACCTTGGCATTGATTCGTATCTAATAGGTTAAGTTTAGCATTCTTGGATGGTCGTTCTTACTTTTTTGTTTTTCCTCTTTTTTAATACCTCTGTGTTATATTGTATGTGATATTGAGATAGTAGTTTTTAGAGATATTGTTTACTTCGAAGCTACATCATGGGATGATTTGGACTATCCAACCGTTGAATACCAAGAAGTGGTAGATAGTTGTCTTGTTGTTTGGAATTCGTCAAAAGTTTCATACCCAAATCCTGGAAAGGGTTAACTTCTTATGCCTACAAATCTGACGCAGGACATACTATGTATGAGCCACGAAGACGGATGTGATGTAGCGCGATTCCTAAACAGTATCATCGTTGAGCTACAGTGTCAATCCCGAATTTTTTATATCTCTATACATTAATTCTTTTAATTAGAGTTTTGCTAATCCATCTCGATTCTAGTTGCTCGTTAAAACATTATTAAGGCGACATTTCCTGATCTAAAGTTATCGCCCTTTCAACGAAACCTGAGTTTTATCACATCTTCGATTGTGAATGTATACTGTTGAGAAGTGCCAAACTAGGATGAAACACCTATTCAGTCCTCTTGAGTTTTTAATAATTCCGCAGCTGATATTAACTTTAGAGGGAAACTAACTTTTAATTTTGTCATTAAGTAGCTAACTATGTCTAACCCTTCTATTGTATTTTTACTTTTTGCAATGTTACTGTAGTAAGTTCGATCACTTTAAATTGGGTGGTACTTATTGATTGCAATAATGAGTAAAATGTATTCAGATTTTTAGGGACTGCATTCAAACTTAATTGATGGTCTCTGTACTGATGACTGTTTTTATACTTTATTGGTTGAGTTTTTGTTGTGTGTATCTTCGTTTTCCACGTATCTATAGTGACTGGAGTGTTGATCACACTGTTCTCATGTTTTACCTTTGAAACCGATTGCGTAAAAAAAACATTTGATAAGTTAAAAATTATTTCCATCTGGATCTGATATCATCAATTGTAAGAGTGTTAGAAAGCAGTTGTAATAGTGAACGATTGTTTTATTCTAAATAGAAAACTTCTCAATTATATAGTGAATTTGAAAATTTCAAACTTTATTATGGGCATGATATCTCATCATTCATTTACTATTTAATCCAGCATCTATTAGTAGTCAAGATAATAGTTTAAGGTAAGGGAAGGAATTAGTCTCAAGTTTTTTAAGCTTTCATATTAATTAAGGTTAAATTCAAGAAGTGAAGTGTATTTTTTTTTGAATAAGTCTAGGTTAGTTTCAATTGTTCTATCAATGTTCTAAGTTAGTTTGTTGTGAAAATCATTTTCTTCAACTAAATATTAATATTATGAAGAAAAGAAAGTCTACTTGATTTAACACTTTAACAAGACAATTATTTTATTCATTCTTAAACAGTAGAATCATCATTTTCACTGTTTTCTATGAATTGATGATTCAAGGTCGTTGATAGTCAATAAAACAAGAACATTGATTAAAGAAAAAGAAATAATTAAGCGAAATCATTAATAATAATAATAATAATGTGTGAAAACGAAAAACAATCAGTACTAATCGATATGAACTATTGCTATGACAATTTAGTGTCATATGCAACATGCCGACGAAATACGTATAAATGGCTGCTTTAATTAAATATAGTGCTATTTACAAACTTTAATTGTTTTAGCCTTTGTTGATACTAAAGGCTTAAACTAATCTGTCTCTATTGGGTTATGTGCATTCTGACCGGAGTGGATATCTGGACTCAGTAGTTTAGTGGATAATAGGTTAGTGTTTAGAGCAAAAGGTATTGAGTTCAAGTTCCATTGTGAATATAAACACTAGGATGCATGTGCATCTAGCTGACGAGTCTCAACAAGGAAGAAACGCGTGTTGTGGATACCACTGCTAGACAATATTCAACTGGAGTAAAAACGACTGTATTAACTACAAGTAGAATCAAATTCCACCTGTTAACCTAACGTTTTTAACTGAAAATAAACGAAGTAGAATTGTATGAACTATATGCATAGATCTTCCGAATTCTTAATTATACCTTACAATTAATATATATTGCTACTGAATAACTTTATGAAATTGGTCAATCTTTGCTGACAGTCAATAGTTATTGACGTTTATTTTCGGTTTAATTCATAATGCTTTTGTATAAGCATACGGAAGCGATTTTCCAGCAAATCACATTACTTGATGTAGTATTCGTTAAAGTATAAA